AAGCACAGAGGAGGCTGCCTGTAGCTGATGGCTTAGTTTAGCCTCATCTTACTGGTGATGATGTGTGAAATGTAAAGAAACCAGCTTGGTTCTTGGAGCTGTGACTGAACATACAGGGCTGAAGTTTGGAAAAATATATTTTTATCCCCTTATAAACTGAGCTAATATGATGTGGAAAATCATGGATTGTCACAATGTTGTATTAACAGAAGCATTCTTAACTAGAGCTATTTCTTAAACACAATGTTAAGGTGTTTTGGGAAACAGGTGGCTTATCACCATATTTCCATCTCAGCCAGGTACACAGGGTGAGGAGAAGGACAGTGACAGAAAATCGAAGGGTTCACAGAAAGAGTCTGGATGCTCTCTGGCCTCCCTGGGCAAATTAATTCATCAAACCACATTCTTGTGGCAGCAAATGAAAAGGAGAAAAAACTGCGATGCTCTACTTGTCAAGGTCATGCACTTTTCTTGGGCATGGATGAATACATTATCATAATTACACTCATCGCAGCAAAAGCAGGGTGTGAAGGTGTTTGTGATGGAGAAGGACACGCCTGTCAGCTCACTCACCTCTGTGATCAGTCAATCCATCACCCACTATTTGTGTGCTCCTGTTGGTCTCTCAGGTCTATCCACTGCTGAGCACTGCAGCTTGGGCAAAGTCTGAGGCACGGATCAATGGATAAGAGAGGACCAATCCACACTAGATTTTTCATCTAGAGTCTGACTGAGGGTACCTCTCCTAATTTCTGGCCCTGAAGCCTCACTTTTATCAGATTGGGCACACTGGAACCTTGGGCTTTGTCTGGTCCTTTGCAGGTGGCATCTCCCCCCCAACATCCCTCACTCACCAAGTCTGGGCGAGGTAATTGTGTTGACGTTTATCTTCTCATTGCAGACATCCTGGTGGCATTGCCTGTAGGCTGCTGGCTTGGACAGGACAGGGCACTCATTGCCATGGCGTCCGGTGACTTTGTGCATACACTGGACCACGCGTGACTGGAGGCCTTTCCCACAGGTTGAGGAGCACTGGAGGAGAGAAGGCACTGAGACATGGTCCGAGTGGAGTAGCTTCCAAATCACATGCATGCATACACCAGAAAAATCACTGCCAGAGCTGAAGTGTGCAGCGAACTGGCAGCTCACTATGGTGCTGAGAACTCAACAACAGAGGCACAGAGTCAGCCAGGACCATTCACAAAGCTGTTGCATTTGTCCATGATGATTTCGCAGCTTCAGGGAGTGCTGTGAGCAGAGGAACTGTCCTAGCACAGGGAAGGAAGCTGTCGTCTTTCTGTCTGGGCTTGCTCTGAGTCCATCTACACTGACTATCCCTGTGGATGTCCATGAGGTTCAAGCAGGCAGAGATGCAATTCCCTCCACCAGCCACAAAGAGGCAAAGCTGGAAAACGTATACTGCTTAATTATGGACAAGCAGCTTCCAACTCCCTCTCCATGAGGGACCCAGTGATACTGGTTGTCTTGGTTTAAAAGCACTCTCCAAGACTTGGATGGTCTAACAAGGCTTCCTCCACAGAAAAGATGACCACTACCTGGCACTGACACAAGATAAAACCAAGGATTGCAGTAGAGGCAGGCAGCTCCTACTGCATGCCCAGACCACTAGAGAAGCTCTTTTCCAGAATGTGGGAGAACACAGGTATTCAAGTGTTCACTCTCATGTATCCCTGCTAACTGTCTGGCACTTGACTGTCCTCCTGAGAGCAACTACAAATTGTGCACCACGAGTTTTGGCTTCTATTAGCCAGGAGGCCCAGCCTGTTTGTATGCTCTCTTTGTTGTCATACAATTGGAGTCCCTACCTCTCCCTCCCTCTTCCTCTGGCCCAGCCACTTGTGATTTACAATGTCCTACTTGCACGCTGTTCAATTTTAATACAGCAAACACAGTGAGGTGCACCAGCTGGAGTTAATAAAAGAACCTTGTATTTAAAATAAAGAAACAATGGTTGCAGGACTTTGGTAAGATTCCTATTTCTGCTAAAGCCACACACAAGCAAACGACAGGGGAGAGGAGGAGGTGGGGGAAAACTCAGGAGGTATAATTAGGATGATGTCGAAAAGATCATGTTTTCTGTCCTCTGCTGTTTCTGAACAAAGCAAGGGCAGTGGAGCGCTCTCCCTCAAAAACACTGTTGCCTCAGAGTGGTACTCCTTAAAATGGCATGCCAAACACTGAAGCAGCTCAAAAATGAGCACCATTGAGGTTGGACTCAATCCAAGCACGAAGGATGTGTATGCAGTGCGGATGCTTGTAAGACTAGGACCCAGGGGCAAAAGAACACATGGATATATGTCGCCCTCCACCTCTCCCATCTATGGGATAGAGCATAGCAAAGCTGTGGTCATTTTGTTCTGGAACTATCACAAGAAACCCCTGCTGCTTCTCAAAGACCATCTGATACAAGAAGTAGAGCTTTGTTCTGGGCTGAAGCACAGGGAGCTTTTCCTGCTTGTGTGGATCACTGAAAGAAAGGCCTGATAAGAAATGGCCTCAGATTAACAGGACCGTAAAATAGAGCTGATGGAGCCCTGCTTCAGACAACCCAGTGCAGAAATACATTCACACGATGTGAACAATTTATTTCTGGGTACGAGGTGTTGTGAGATCAGTGAAGCCTGTTGTCAAAAAAAACACAAACTGTTTGTGTAATTTTCTTCTTTAGTTGCTCACAGTAATGACTTTATTAAACAGATTTCTTGTATTTGGAGTACTCACTGAATGTGTATTTGCTTTTCTCTTAACTTCCCCCCTATATTCCAACTGCTCTTTATTCCTATTCTTTCTCCCAGTGCCTTTCTCTAGGACTGAATTTCTCCATTCAGAACAATCTCTGGTTCAGACCCCTTCTGTATTTGGCCATTAAGCCATCCTGCAGCTTGCCTCTGTGTTTCCAGCTATGCCGACCCCTCCAGGACCTGATTATTGTATTCTGAAGGTAGCACTGGTGCTATATTAAAATTTTACATGTATTTTGGAACTTCTTTTTTTTTAAATAAATTATTGGGTTTTTTTCCTTTACATCCTTCCTATTTCAATTTAGGATCAACACACTAGTTTACAACAGATTTTTTTGCACTTAGATTTTCAGATGTTGAACTTACATCAAAATTTGGTCACTGTCTATTAACACCTCCGTAATAGTTATGGTATTTAGGACTACGCTGAACGAGCCCTTTTCTTGTATGCCCTGTGGTGAGCTACTCCAAAAAGCAATTGGCGAAGTCCCTTATTTAAACCCTCTCCATAAATTGAGCTTCTGCAATGAGATCCAGGTGTTTCATTAGTCTTGGGTGTCCCTTTGCTCTTCCCCAGCACTGTGTGCCCCCAGTGACTTCTACCAGTCTGGAAGCCAGTCAGGCATGACCGTTACATTTGGATTTAAAGCTAACAATTTTTATCCTGATAAATGCAACCATTAGGCCCTTCCACTTCACTAGTCATATGCAACCTCTAATCCTCAGGATTTCGATGGCACTTTTAGTCTTCAGGGTGCTTTATTAATCTTAATCCTCGCAAAACTCTTTGCAAGGGGAGTGAATTGTACCTCCATTCTACAAACAGAATAGCTGTCACAGGCACAAAATAATCCATCCAGGCCATGGGGTTCCTTCACATGATTGCAATATAATGAATCCAAAACCTCTGTCTCTGGCTTTTAGGCACTCCCTGTACTTACAAACGCTCTTAACAGAGGGTGGGAAAAAAAAGAAAAGAAAGAAGGAAAGAAAGAAAGAAAAAGCATTTTTTCTCATAAGGTGAACAAGGTTTGCAGGTACCAACATACAAACAAAAACTCACCTACCTTTGTCTGTGTTCCTGTCTCTGCATTTGTTAACCAGCAAGGAGGGCAAGCAATGAAACTTTTTCCACAGACACTGCCAACTCCAATCCTTAGACAAATAACAGCAGAGTTTTTGCCCGAAGCAGTATTATTCCTTCTCCTGGGAGACTGGGATCATCACCTATGCTATGCAATTAGTTTTTCACAGCCAGGAAGACAGATTTTAACATCTTTCTTGAACTCTTATGGGCTTGGCAGCTAAAAGAAGGTTGGACATCTGGCTTATTTTAAGATGAAATTTTCAACTCTGTACTTGGATAGTCTCTTTCCTAGGAATTTCAATAGGAAATAGGAATAGATACAAAATACATACAAAGAGGGAATTGTTACTTATGCTGCACTATGAAAAGAGGACATCATTAAAAGAGGTATAAAAATCAAACTCCAGCTGAACAGCAAATTCTCATAAATACCTTCCGTCCTACTCTGGATAGCTAAATGCACTGCTACAGTTTCTCTGTTCCCAAATATTTATGGAGCAAGTAAGCATATCCACAGGACAATTTTCAGGGTTAGATTCACTCTGTGCCCTCTGATACAGGACCCTCAGACTTGGACACAGGTTATGAGGAGTTTGAGCAAGGAAAGGTGCTGTGGTCTTCTTGCAAACAGAGGAACTTCCAGGCAGCCAACGGCTGCCAGAGAAAGTGCATCGCTTGTGGCAGCGTGGCCTGGGCTGGGTGGCAAAAGTACCATCACAGCCCAGCACCTGACCCAGCTTCTGTACAGATGGTGCAATTCCACTGTACAGGATGCTGGGAGGCTCCAGTTCTGCACGGTGAAACTGTGCTGATTGTATTTAAAATGCTGTTGATGGACACTGGACTTTTTGGGCAAATATTGAGTTCTTACACTCTTAACAAGCATACCCTGAAAATCAGAAAAGCTTTTACAAGCATTTATGTAACTGTCAAGAGACACACGTGGTTTTGATGCCATGATGGAGTAAAGCGATCTGTGGATGTGGAGGACTGGTTTTGGAGCCTGGCTCCGAGCTGCGCGGATCTCTGCCTGCCACCTGAGCTGCTGAGCAAGCACTGAGAGGAAAACCACAAGCAACTTGCCTCCTCTGGGAAGCGGTGGACTCAGACAAGTGGATGAACAGAGACGGTGGTGTCAAACAGAGAAGTGGTTTTTTCCTTCCACCAGACATTGCCAGTGATATCACTGTCAGAAAAATGCATACACGAAATTCCTGTAGTTTAACCATAATGCACTAAACTGACAATACGGCCATTGTAAATTGGAAATCCACCCACATGAAAAGATCAAAGGATTGTTCAACACCGTAAAAACGAGGGGGTTAATGAACAGTTACAAAATGTGAACCTAATGAGAGCCCTTGTAACTGCCAGTTCAAACGCTGCTTAAGAAGGCAAAAGGAATACAAAAATGCCTCCATTCACATTCTTTGGCAGTAACATGCAAGCCAGTGGGGATATCCAGAAGGAAATAAACTCACAAATTGTCAAGGCAGCAGCTGCATTCATCAGCTTAAAGAAGATTTACTCACTGAAACAGCCCAACCTTAAGAGCAGGCGATGATTTTTCAACTGGAATGCTATTTCCACCCTAGGATACTGATATGAAAGCTTGAGATCTACCAAAGGTGCTGACAGATGTCTAATTGCTTTGAAAGCAAATGCCTTAGGAGAATATTAGGTATTAAAATAGAACGAATTTACAGTAAGTGCTGAGATGTGTCAGAGACTTCATCAGCTTCTGACCTATGAAAATTAGTCAGAGAGAGGAATAAGAGTGACTGAAGCCAGGGCAGGGCTGCTGTTGGGCAGCTGGAGGAACACATAAGAGAGACCAGTCCAAAGGAGCCCTGTGTTGAGGCTTAATGGGAACAAGAAAAGGTACAGATTTACCACTATAGAGGACAGGCTGCGATCTGTTCAGGACTGACTGTGACAAGGAAGCATTGCTCATGCTTTAGCTGCATGCTGCTGGCTAGTCAGGGATGCATTCAGACCATGTGTCACCTTTAAAAATGACACTTTCCTAACCTCTAAGCGATGTCTCTTTTGTGAGAGACTTGCTTTTTCCAGCAGAAGGTCATAGCATCCCTTCAGCCAATTCTGAATGTACTCCAATATTTAGAAGGCTGAGCTGTTGGAGGGAGATATAGTTCAAGATGACTATCATAACTAAGCTGAAG